TTTTAATAGTGTAATTATGCAAAATAAGTCGAAGTATAGAAAAATTAAAGTTTAAACATTTTTACTCGTTAAAAAGCAAATCACAGACCTTTTGTATCTTTTCTTACAAATTTTATTTTATGTTTAATATAAAATTTTCTACCACAAAAATCGGTGTGCGTCGTTACTGTGTAACATATAGTGGTACATCTTTATGTTGGAGGATTGTTACATATAAGTCATACAAAGCGGCATCTTTGTTTAAAATGCATGTAATAAAGACACAAAGACTTTCATGCACATTAGTTTCATTTTCTTTCTCAAAATTTTATAATCATTAGGGTATTTATATTAGCAATATCAATACATATTATGCCGATAGTCCCGATACCATTATTGCCCATACTTTACGACCATTTATTATTGATCTTGAACCATTGTTCATTAACGATATAGACCCGATTTCAACTGAAATTTTTGGTTTCTGCGATGGTAAAGTCTAACAAATTCAGTTGGGCTTTGCAATGAGCATTAACGGCTGGACTTATTGTTACTTGCAAACGTTCGATCAATGCAAATTTCAATTGCATCCCGATAAAATAAAATTAAAATTAAATTAAAACACATTGAATGCATAGAAATTACATTCATTTACATACAGGACCAACATTAATCGAACGTCGCGATTATAAGTGAATGTTCGCTCGGCATTTTACTACCGGCATTGAGTTAACAGTCCTCACCTTGGACTTATGCAGAATCGGTTGAAAATTTTTACGTAAATGACAATATCTTCATTACTAATTTATTTATAAATATTAATAAGTATAAATAAAATTGTTTCTAATAATAATTAATAAGTATAAGTAATTGTTTCTAGTGTTTTCGATACTTCATTAATTGTAAATATTTGTCTGTATTATTTATGATTTGGCGATGATACGAAATATTGATTTTAAAACTCATTTTAATAATTGGTGTTTGGGAGGCGCTATTTTCTTAATCCTATTCGAACTTTAATTAAAGTCTCAATACTGCAATAAACAATCTGTTCATTTTACTTTTTCTATAGATGATCGATTGCGGGTTTTCATTCTTATCCAGTCTGAAGGAAATATGCATTAATCAGAATAAAAGAAATGCGTAGGATGATATGGATTCGGGATTCGTGAAAAGAGAAAAATATTATTTTTTAAAATGTAAACTTTATATAACTGAAAAGAAGTTCCTTTTCATTCAGTAATTACATTTCGATAACAATAATATATTTTTCTGGAAGGATATGGGTATCTATCGATAAGTTAACTAGTAAAAAAATCTTATCTTTAGTACATTACAAACGTTATTAAAAATGTAATTGTAGAACATTTCACTAAAAACTTATTCATATTAAGATTATTTTATATTATGCTTTCGGAATTTGTTAGATATTGGTTTTCATAAACATGTATCTTGTCTGACAATATTCTATCAAATACAGCATTAAAATCCCATCGAATAGTTATGTAATTTTTCCGGCAACCTTTAAAAAGTTTGGTGTTGTTATCTGTTATAAGTACGATGTATTCACCATCGCAGCTTTTGCTGTCTTTGAATATGTAAGCATGTGTAACATAAATTTATCGGGTATACTTTGTTAAATTTCATCGCGAAATCTTTTCCTTGTATTTTACCAGTGGCATGAGATGACATTTGATAATACGGAAGCTGTGTTTCCATAAAAATTATAAACAAATACTGGAAATGACAAAATTAAACAGTTTATCTATTTTAAATTTAAAATAGATAATTGAGATGAAACAAAGATATATTGTTTATATTATTTTTATAAACTAACTCTAATCGACAATTTTATTTCTGCCAAGTCGCTAATTACTTTATCATAAAAATCGCTGGTAGTCGATTCCATCAAAGTATTTGAAAACTCTTTTTCTACAGAAAGCAACACTAGTGACGAAAATCCTTCCTCTCAGTGTTTCTTGCAAATGTATCAATTTGCTTCTTGGTTGAAAAACTGTGCTCAACAGACGCACTGGTAGAAGGTACCATAAAAATTAACGATACTAAATCATATATTTCTTTTAGTATATCTTTGTTCGGATCGTCATTAATTATAATATAATTTATGTCTAAGAGTGACTTGCCGATACTGTATAGTCTGCACACGAATATAAATATCGCAATTTACTACGTAATTTAGATAAATATTCAATAACTTCTAACGAAAACGGAAGTCATTTTGTTTCACTACAAAAAAATTCTTCTGAAATGTGTTAGATAGATGATCCAGACGGCTCTGTTGTTAAAGAAAAATTGTGATGTACTGTACAGGGACAAGATACTATTAATTTCAGATAAAAAAAAGTATATATTTTAAATTAAATAAATAAAAAATATAATTAAAAATTGAAGCCTAGCATTGTGACTATGTCAAAATAAATAATTGCTAGTTTCTTTTAATTCTTTGTTGTTTATATTTTGATTATCAAATTATATTTTCTGAAATTTAACGTTAATCATTATAATATTTAAAAATTTTTTACACCTCACATACTCTATTTTTTTTTTTAAAGGGCAGTTACAAAACTAATCATTTTGAAAAATGTATAATATTTCGAAGGGGCGATCGAGTTAATAAGTCCAGGAGGAGAACGTATTTAAAAATAAGTAGCAATTTGTCTTGATATATAATATCTTTCATTGATACTTTACAATCTTCATCTCAAACGTAAGATCTTCAGCAATGTTTTCTATCTGGCCACATTAAAAGTCAGCTCATATCATTTTGAAACTTAATTACTGGCAATTTAAAATACAATAGACCACAACCCGAAACANAATGTTCTGCGAGCCAACCATAAAGCTACTAAAGACTGTGTTATTGGACAGCAGTTTTCAAACTGCAGACCTATCAATTTCACTGGAGTTCTTGTTGTTTCAATTCAAAAATTTTCTGCTGAACGGAGTTAACTAGATGACCGTTACGAATCCGTTGAAAACAGGAAAATATTATACATAGGGGCAAGACACTACTAGAATTGAGGTAATTGTGACGAAGAATTGCATCCTATCATTGTGACGATGTCACGGTAAATCATTTTTTGTTTCTATTTATGAATCTGAAATTAAATATGTAATTATTAACGGTATTTATGTTTAAATACCTTCCTTTGATGTAAGGTAATAAGTACGATTCACGAATCGTTCACGAAGGCGGTGGTGGTTATTTGATAGCTTATCGGTGTGAAAACTGCCAAAGTTTTCAAAATCAAAACTGATGGAGTTAGTAAATAACTGTGAAGACAAAGAATTTACGACCGACGATAGTATTTTCAGACCTAAATTTTATAATTCATTCATAACTTTGCGTAAAAGAATTTTTTTTCACAGGTCAAGTTGCACATTAAATGCGCAAGACATATTCCCAGCAGGTAAAGAATGAAGAATAAGAAGAAGAGACAACGCATCATTAATTCCTTATTATGTCATTATTTTTGCATCATTAAATCAAAGCGATGCAAGCAAAAAAAAAAAAATTAAAGTGAAATGGCGGCAGCTTCAATGCAGTCAGATATTACTTTTTAACAACGTAAGTCATTTCACATTTCAAAACTTTCTAAAAAACTAGCAAGTACTTTCCCGGCAACAGATGGTGACGCCATCTTATATTTTATTTAAAATTTTTTACATTTTTATCTATTATAAAATAGCAAAATAAGAAATTTTGAGAGTAGGAATGGGTTTTATTAAAAATATTTCAATGCTAATAACGAGTAAAATCGTCATTAAATCCGACCCTATTCCACATACACACGATCGCCATTATTTCCCTACTCTTCTACCTATAAATACCAGAATATAATAATATCAATTTCCCTAACTCTTCAAACCTTTATTCAAAATTTCAAAAATTTTCCATAGAAAGCACGGGAGTTATTAAGCTATAAAGAGGGTGAACAAAATTTTGCCAGTCTACACACACATCTATTTATACAAAAAAGAACCCTAAATTTTTTTTTAATTTCTCGACATTTCAATGAGTCCTGAGTCCAGTAATGTAAACATTTTTGGAAGTCATTTTTTGACCAATCAGAATACAGTACTTTTTTTTGTTATATATAACAGCCGGAAAAGTAAAAATTTTATCATGAACGAACTTTAAACCTGATCAACGAAATAGAAAAAGTTATGCGCCGGGCTGCATGTGAAATAATTTTCTGTAACTTGCAGAAAGAACCGAATGTGGTAAGAGTTTGTGTTTGCAAATATCATCCTTTCATGTTTCTAAATAATGAAACTGATAGATAAAATTTCGGAAATCGCTGATTCGAATTTTCTATCGTTTGCATGCGTTTTACTTGTTCTTTGTATATTTTTACGCGCAATAAAATGATGGTTTTTACTATCATACGTTTCTAGTAATATGTTTTTCACTTGTTTTTCGCAAATCTCACCTTTTCAGCCATTTTTATAAAAATAATTTGCATTTCAGCTTCCAAAATTTAGTANAAAATATCGAAAGAAAACTGCTACTTTAATTTATAAAACCTGTATGGATAGGTATGTTTTATTTTTTAAGAATTTTACAAAACTTGTTATTCCTTTTTATGTGTATGTTATATCCTTTTTAAATGTTTTAGTTGACTGAAGAGGAGCTTAAGAGCTCGAAACGTGTAATTTTTTCCACACGTATCAACTAAATAAAGATGAGAAAATCCGCCAAGTGTCTTAATTTATAGCACTATATTGTGTTAGAAGCATAAATATAATCTTGTTTGCAAAAAGTTCTCATTACATTAATTTCGAATACGGATTACTAATTATTTTTAAAAAATACCAAACGCATAAAACTTATTTAAAGATATGAATATTAATCGCTATTATTATTATTTTTATTTGAATTACAATTCAAAACAAACAACGAATAATTTTGACATTTGAGTTCTTTATTCAGGTAGTATCTTAATACTAAAAAATAATTTAAGAAACTATAGTACCTGTGGATGTAATAAAATAAAAATTCATATATGATGTAATAGAACAGAAGATCTACAATTATCGATCCANCCCAGTACATCATACGTTTCTACTGACAACAGACTGATACCAGCCATCATCTATCAGAAGAAATTATTTGAATTGAAATAACGTGACTCTCGATGCAAACTGGAACTTTATACATAGTTAATCGAAGCCTGCTGTCCCTTCGCTTCGCATATCTCGCTTCGAATTTTTTATCTAACTCCGTTTTCGATATTAAGAAAGGATATGCAGCCATACGGGCGACTATGAGAATTTATAGATCTATAATTTTGTTTTTAATGCAGCACAGTTAAGAAATATATTGCCATAAAGTTACATAAAATTTGTGATAACTCCATTATAATGGAAATAAATTAATTGAGATTATCAGAAACTGTTTTCATGAAATTTTATTTAATTACTAGCTGCAAGGACCCGCTTCGCTGGATTTTAATTTGTTCGTACATTTGTATGTAATATAGTTTTTTCTNTGGGGTGATGTAACAATCTAAAAAATAAATATATATATATATATATCATTAAAAAATATAATCTTGTTTGCAAAAAGTTCTCATTACATTCATTTCGAATACGGATTAATAATTATTTTAAAAAAATACCAAACGCATAAAACTTATTTAAAGATATGAATATTAATCGCTATTATTATTTTTTTTATTTGAATTACAATTCAAAACAAACAACTAATAATTTTGACATTTGAGTTCTTTATTCAGGTAGTATCTTAATACTAAAAAAATAATTTAAGAAACTATAGTACCTGTGGATGTAATAAAATAAAAATTCATATATGATGTAATAGAACAGAAGATCTACAATTATCGATCGAACACTTGGAATTGTATCAACACTTTCTATTCCTCTCCATTTCAAAAGTTTGTGACAAAAATGAACGAATGGGAACGTGATAAGAAAATGATTCACCGACACCTGTTTCACCACTTGATAAACTGTTGACATTTTCACCTGAAATAAATAATTTTGAAAAATGAATAATGTATATTATTTTAATTTGGCGAATTTGGCTGGCATTTCTACCAAACAGCATAAGTAGATTAATGATGTTATCATTTCGTAAGAAAATAAAAAAGAAAGAGATTAACCAACGAATTGTAGTAGGATAGTGACCCAAGCAACTGCTCTACTCTAAACAGTAGAAGAGAAGGAGCCTTAATCTACTGTACAGAGTCAAACTGTGTAGAGTGTACAGAGTTCACTACAGCAGCAAGCCGAATTCGCCATTACAAACTTTCTCATTGTATTGTTAATTTTTGATACATCGATATGGCTATAAGTTGTCACTAACTGAAAAGAGAACTAATTTTAATTGTATTTTTAAACTAATTACACAGACTTTGTTTATAAATAAGACTTTTTATACTGGTGTAGATTCTAATTAGCAGAGGTAGAAAGTCTTACTTTTTGACTATACTTCCTGTTTCAGCTAATTAAAAGTTATACAATATAAGTCGTATTTATAAACAAGGTATACGTAGACAATGTAGAAACACAATTGAAATATTACGGAAATAAAAGTATAACTATTGAAGAATCAATTTTACTTTTAATTATATTACCTAACATAAATATGTTTATGTATATATCTCCGGCGTTAAAATAGGTTATTCTTATATAATTTCCTGCTGATTTGAAATGTCTTTCTTAAAATTTCCTAACGTGCAAGACTGAAAAATTACATTTCGTAGACACATCTTTGTATAATGATATACATAATATGTCGATATATCACACGTATCTGCGAAAAATCATTACGACGTAGCGCTCTTTCTTTATAGGCCTATACTTTGTCTTAAACGTTGGCAGATACATCAGGTTAAAAATAAACAATTTTACGTAAAATCCAAATTATTTACAATGTTTTACACATCATGTTTTATAATGCGAGAGATGGAAAATGTTTCGATCTCTCGCGTTATAAAACGGTTTGCACCAAAACCGGCTGTTATATAGCATCAAACTCTGCGCTGTGCATGTACACTTGCTAAGCAACTTAAACATTAAACACAGCCAAACGTGTCAAAAGCGTATATAAGCTTACAAGAAAAAAAGTCGTTTGAATATTGATTTCCTCTTGTAATACTTCTTACTCTTATAAGAAACTTGAGTAGTCTCCCAGCATCACTGGGTCAGTGTGAGTTTGATACTTCTTTTCTGTTGCTTGTTAAATCCTTTTACCACGTTTCTCGTTAAAAACGCCAAGAATTTTGAAGGAAATTGAACATTTTATGTTGAAGAATTTTAACAAACTGTTCCAAAATCTATCAACGAATCTACGCTCCGATTTAAAACGTTTTAACGAATACGTTTAATTTAACAACATAAACATGTTAGCGGCTTGTTTCGCTACACTGGAAATACTTTCTGTAAAATTACTTCCTAAATTAATGTATTAACTGATCTACCTCACCATGGTAAATGCAGAAATTTGTTATAATAATGGCTTCAATATCTGAAAAAACGGTGACGTAATGAGAAAGTTTCTTGCTAATTTTCGAAGTTTAAGCATCGTAGTTGATAAGAAACCGTTATGATTTCCTCGAAGATAAAAATTCATGTTGGGTAGTGCAATTATTCATTCGTGCAATATCCTGAAAACTACACTTTTTTCAAATTAATTATTATTTTGAAGATTACGTAAATAAAATCCATCAAAATACATAACTAATTGTTTTTAAGAAAATAGTAAATAATGTAGTTATTTTATATATTACGCTGTCAAAATTAATTACTTATTTAATAAAAAGAACATTTTTTTCATTATTTGAAATAAAATTAAGTTCTAATAATTAAATTATAATCTACATTGAGAATGATATTGAAAAAAAACAGTTGGACTTAATAATCTTATCTTTAAGCCTTAAGTTTCTAAGACAAAGACTTCTATTTATCATCATTTTTAAATAGCATTAATATGAAAATTTGTTTGGAGTCTGACTCTTTGTAAGAGGGAGTTTGTTGAAAACAAATTTGTAAGCGATTAATAAAGTTACTTACAAATAAATTTCTTATTTGATTTAAATCTATAATGCCTTTTCACTGTATCTAGGAATTCAAGACATGAACAGTAGGAATCAAGGATTTATAAACAAAGCAATTAATACCATATTATCTTGTTGACTGTAAACTACAAAAGAAAATACAGACTTACGTTTATTATACTATGGTTCTTTAAATTATGTCAAGTTCTATGCAAAGACATACACTGATGAGTATTTTTTGAATAATAAATTGTTTAAAATTATTAATTTGGTGGCAATAATGCACGATTATTTATTTAAAATATGTATGAAAAATAACTAACAAGTTTTTAAGCGTTTTTGTCCTTGAGCTTAACAACCACCAAAAGAGTTGCTTAACTTTTCCTGCAACATTTAAACCAAGTGAGACGCCCTCTGTTATCTTGTTTTATTTTAAAAACTTTTTATACTTTTAATTATTACGAAATGGCAAAAAGCTTAATTTTTACGGAAGGGATGAATCTTACAAAAGATGCAAATACTAACGAGCCATTATTTATTGTAGTACAGTAGATCCCCCTATAAGACGGTAGATACGTTCCGTTCTTTATGAATCAATTTTGTAGGAATCATAGTTTACGGACTACGGCTGTTTGAAAGGTTTTCTTTCATAAAATTAATCGATTCTAGACTAATTCGACTCAACATTTTCAAAATACGTATATTTTTTTGAAAATAATCCGTATAAACTACGTTATAAACAAAAAATTGTAGGATT